CAGGTCCTGGGCTTTTCTTAGTTTGTAGGGTTTTTTTTACTATTCCCTAAATGTCATTGTCTGTTACTGGATTACTGGTTCAGATATATTTTCTTGGTTCAGTTTTGGTAAGTCATATATATCTAGGAATCTATTTCTCCTGGGTTCTCTAGTTCATTGAAGTACAGGTTTCAAAGTAGTTATTAATAATCTTCTAGATTTCAGTGGTATCTATTATGATTTTACCTTTTTCATTTGTAATTTCATTGATACTACCTTTCTCTTTTTTTGTTAAGATTGGCTAAGGGTTTGTCTATTTTGTTTATCATTTCAAGGAACTAGCTCTGATTCATTGTTTCTTTGTTTTAGTCTAAATTTTTTTTTTTTTTTTTTTGGTACCAGGAATCAAACTCACAACCTTGCACTTGCCAGGCAGGCACTTATGCCACTGAGTTATATCTCTGGCCCTTAGTCTAAATTTTAAATTTTGCTCTGATCTTTATAATTTCGTTCCTTTTACTAGCTTTGGATTTGATTTGTTCTTGTTTTTCTGTGACCTGGAGGTTCATCATTAGATTATTTATTTGAGTTCAGTGTTTTTCTTTTTATTTTAATTTTAAAGAGAATTTTAAAAACTAAATAACAACAACATAGACAAAAATAAAACAACCACAAAAACAATAAAAATGATACAGGGTTTCAAAACAAAATGATAGGAATTAACAGTGGTTGTTATATTACCTATTGTTATCTTCAACAAAGTTACATTACCAGATGTAGGAATGCAAGATTGATCAAACCATTAAAGACAATAAAAAATAATTTAAAAAACTCCCCAGAAGGAGGGCTTCTGGCGCACAGGGAGCCACGGGTGAGGAGCGCCAGTCTTCCGGCTGGCTAGCTTCCTGCCTCGTAGCTCCCGGAGGGAGGGCCCCCAGCACATGGGGAGCAATGCAGCGGTGAGCGCTGTTGCCTGCCGGCCCTTAGGCCGGCTGCCGCCGCTCAATTGAGATCTATCATGACGCAGAGAAACAGTGACACAATCGGCCCACCATGCACCAACTGCAGTTGCCTACCCACGGATGTGTGTGAATCATTCAAACTTTGAACAACCCCTGGGAATACATGCCATACAACGGACCACTCTTGCTCCTGCCATTGAGAACCAGAAAGGTCCAGAGCCAGCGGAGGAGCAGCTGCTGAACAAGGACTCAGAGAACATGAGAATGCAGACTAAGCCCACGGAGTCAGAGGTCCAGTGGACTGGGATCACGAGAGCCGCTGGGAAGCTGTAAACCAGGAGGACCTTGCACAATACCTGCAGAGACTCATTGGAAGCCATTCTTCCCCTGACAGTACAGGCTGTGGTGGAGCTCCGGAAAAGTCTGCAGCAGGATTCCTGCTGCCTGTGCTGACAGTTGGGGAGTGGACACTAACTGGTTGTGGGGTCCCAATGTGATGGGAGGCTGGAGAGAAAATGCTACAAAGAATGGCTTTCGCCCCAGACGGCTCACTTGATTTTTGACAACCCTTAGGCTGTAACTGCTTGTTAAATCCTTCTTGTGTATCTCTGCCTTCCTGAAAAACCACTTTGAAGATACCACCATGTATTATAGCAGTCATTGATATTTTCCTACTAATCTATCCATAACTCTGTAATGTTTGTATTGTTCCTATCCTATTTCATAAATGGATCCATGTTTATTATTGTGTTTCCTACAACAACCATTGAGAATTATTGAATGATTATTCAGTAGGTCACTCAAGTATAGTTCTATTTATATTCTTTAGAAGCCACTTTGAAGATACCTAAGTATAGTACAACAACTATTGATAATCTCCTACCTCTTTTGTCTGTAACTCACTATCATTTGTCTATTTGTATTCCTGAGAAACTATCTTATAGATAACAATATGTAAAACAATAACCATTGATAATTTCCTACCACTTTGTCTATAATTTGGTAAGCCCCTCCTATTATTATGTTATCCTTCTTTTACTCTTTAAAATAAAAAATAATAATAATAATTAAAAAAAACTTTAAAAATGATACAGAGCTTCAGTAAACAAGATGGTAGGAATTCACCAATGGTTGTTATATTGCGTATTGTTGTCTTCAAATTAGTTGTTCAACTTACCAGATAGAAGCATGCAAAATTGGTCAAAAACAATTAAAGCATTAACTGTTCCTTTCAATAAGCCAGTAGACATCAGCAGTGCAACTATCCAGCTCTTCTTCTGTCACTGTGTTTTTCTGATGTTGACATTCACAGCTATAGACTTCTCTCTTAGGACTGCTTTCATTGTGTCACATAGGTTCTGGTACATTGTGCTGGCATTATGTTTTGGTTCTAGGAACGAATTTCTTGACTATTCAAGAATGTATCATTTAATCTCCATATATTTTCATAATTTCTGTGATTCCTTTTGCCCTTGATTTCTAGTTTTACTGCCCTGTGATCTTATACTATGCATGGGATAATTTTGATTATTTTGTGTTCATTTAAGCATCCTTTATGGACAAATATGTGATCTGTTTTGGAGGTTTCATGTGCTGCTGATAGTGTGTATTGTTGGATGGAACACTGGGTATCTATTAGCCCATTTGTTTGAAGATATGGTTCAAGTGATATTTCTTCACTGATTTTTTTCTCTAGTTGATCTATTTGTGATAGTAGGGTATTGAGGTTCCCTATAATTGTGTTGATGTTTATGTGATCTTTTATGTCCAGTAGTTTGTTTTATGAAGTTGAGTACACCAGGGTTCAGTGCATCTATTTTTGTAGTTGTTACTGCTTCCTATCAGTTTGTTCCTTTGATCAATGTGTAGTGACCTTTTTTTTACCTATTCTGATCAGTTTTTGCTTGAAGTTCACCTTGTCTGAAAATAGAATAGCTATTCCTATTTATTTTCAGGGTCCCATGCCATGGAATAATGTTTTCTATCCTTTGGTTTTTAGTCTGTGAATTTCTTTTTGATTAAATGTGTTGTATACAGCATACTGTTATGTCTTGCTTCTTGACGCAGTCTGTTCATCACTGTCTTGACTGGGGAGTTGAGACCATTCACACTGAGTTATTACTGAAAGGTATTGGCTTATTCCTATCATTACATTACTTTTTTGTTATTGCTGAAATTTTCTTTAATGTAAGTATTTATAGCTATAAATTTCTCTCTTAGTATTGTTTTTGTTTCATCTCATTTTTTCAAAAATTTATCTCAAGGTATTTTCAAATATCCATTGTGATTTCTGTTGTTACTCATTGATTATTTAAGAATATTTCGGGGCTGGGGATTTAGCTTGGCGGCAAAGCACCTGCCTGGCAAGCGCAAGGTCGTGAGTTTGGTTCCCGGTACCGGAGAAAAACCAAAAAAAAAAAGAATATTTCATTTTACTGGACATGGTGGTATATGCTTGTAATTCCAGCTATTTAAAAGACAGGCCCGGGCATTGCAAGCTCACATCCATCTGAGGCAACTTAAGGAGACCTTGTCTCAAAATAAAAAGGAAGAGAATGTACTGTTTCATTTCCACGTATTTAGGAACTTTCTGGCTGTTGATTTCTAATTTTAATCCATTATAATTGTGATTAGAAAGCTATTTTGTATAGCTTGAATATTTCAAAATTCACTAAGATTCATTTTGTGGCCTTATATATCTCAGAACCATATGCACTGAAAAAAATGTTAATTCTATTTATTATTATCTGGTATATTGTGTATATGTGAGTATTAGGTCCAAATAACTTATGCTGTTGCTTAAGTCTTGTATTTCCTTACTGATCTTCTTACTGTCCTATCTGTAATTGACAGTACTTTGAAGCTCACTGCTGTAATCACATAGTTGTCTACTTTTCTCTTTGATTTTGTCAACATTTCCTGCACGTACTTAGGAGCTATGGTGTTTGGTGCACATATGTTTATAATTGTTATATCTAAATACTTAATTGACCTTTATTTCATTATATAATATTCTTTATTTTTTCTTGTAACAGTTTTCACTTAAAGTCTTTTTTGTCTGATATTACTGTAGTCACACTTCTTGCTCTTTTGGTTATTGTTTTATGGAATATCTTTTATATCCTTTCTTTGTTAATTTATGTTTGCTTAGATCTAAAATGAGTCTCTTGAAGACAACATATATTCAGATCCCACTTTTTAAATCTTCTGCAAACATGCGTTTTATTTGGGAGTTAAATCAACTTACATTTAAAGTAATTACTGTTAGGGACGGACATACTATCACCATTTTGTTACTTGTTTTCTATTTATCTTTTCCTAGCCCTTATTTCCTCCTTTACTGCCTCCTGTCTCAGGCTTCCTTGTGCTTGGTTGATTTTCTGGGGGAATGGTATGTTTGATTTCCTTTTCATTTACTTTTCTATATTCTATGAATTTTTTTTCCTTTGTGATTACAATGGGACTTACATAAAACTTCCTAAAGTTATAATAGTCTTTTTTAAACTGATAACTTCAGTCACATACAAAGCTTCTACTCTTTACAACTGTTCTCTTTTATGTTATTGATAGCACAAACTATATATATTGTGTGCCCACTAACAAAGATTTATAACTTTTAGGCTTTTCTATCTTAAATCATATAAAGGAATAAAAAATGGAGTTGTGAAGCAAAAGTACAATAATGCAGGTTTTTATACTTCTCTTTGTATTTACCTTTATTAGAAAATCTTATAAAATACAGTTTTGAGTTTCTGTCTAATTTTATTTTCTTAGAACCTGAAGGACTCCCTTTAATATTTCTTATAGGGCAGATCTCGTGGCTGTCCAGTGATGTCCATGTCCACACTGGCAGTGGAGCCTGGCAACCTGGTGGGGACATGACTGAGCTGCGGGCAGCCCACAGGAGCTCTGGGCAGGGGTCCCCCCACCTCACCTCTGGAGTGTTCTCACCAGGTCCTACTGGGGACCCCTGCAGTGAGCCTCTAATCTCCTGCCCAGTGTTATGGTGCACGGTGAGAGAAAGCAAGAGACAAAATGGTAGTACATTGGGGATCCAGATGACCGGTTGTTCGCGAGGAACGAAAGGCCACGAGGCGGCTAGAACCTCAGCATTTATTGATAGAGGAGGGGATTTGAGGAGGGGATCATCAGATAACTCAAAAGGGGGAAGGTGATCTTATGCTAAGAAAGGTCTTGCCCTGGAATGTCTTTTAATTTTGGTGCGTAGGAGAGGATGGCCCATTCCTAAAGAGATAAAGGGAAATCTCAAAAGGCTGATACCAGTAATCCTAAACCTCCATTCATCCCTTAGGGAAGTATGCAGATTTAGCTGTTGTGATTTATGGATCCCAAAAAGATCCTACTTTACACATTGCAAGAAGCAGTTGTCATTATGTTTTCCTAAAAAAAAAAAAAAAAAAGAGTCCAAAGTGAATGATGACCCAGAGTCACAGGTTCAAAATCCATGCTCTTTGCCTCTAGGATTTCCCTATATATACACAGTGTTCTTGGATCTTGCTGTACTTGGACCAGCTGAAGTGAGCATGGGTGCCCCTTTTCCAGGTTTGATGCTACTGCCCAGCATAATCACACTTTGGCGGTTAACAAATGGAATGGAAGACGTTAGCATGTTGATAGAGCTAATACCCTGATGACAATACTCAGTGGGTCCAGCTGAGCAGGAGGTGTGATTCAGCCACACTCGTGTGTATCTAGGTGATGACTGTCTTCAGATTTCCCATTTGTTGATTGTTATTGAGGCAAAGGAACCTGGGTGAAGGTCTTGAACTTTGTCCTCCTTTGGGCTTGGTTGTTCACAGGTCCAACAGGTTGCAGTGGCTCTGGGAGAGGCTCACTTACAGAAACTATGGCAGTCTCAAAGGAACACTTGGCATGCAAGAAGGAGAAATCTGACAGCAAACACAGCTCCCCACGGAGGTCTAGTATTGAGGTGAGCCAGAGTTCCAGATGTGTCCTGATCCAACCAACTTGAAGGTAAGTGTATAACCTGGGGAGAAAAGGGCTGTAGGTATAAACCAGTGTCATTAGACACTGTGATGCTGCATTCAAAGTTTTGCTGAGTTACAGCTTCACTCATCTGAACCCAGAAGGAATATACCCCCACCTGGCAAGAGCAAGCTTCTTGTGTTGAGAAACAATGGTAGCCTTCTGGACCCACCACCGGATACCTCTGTGAATTCCAGATCCCCTGGTCACCGTAGGGGATGATCACATGAAGGGAGCTCACCACTGTGGCACATCTGTGGGGTGACTAGGGCCTGAAGCTGCAATGTCTAACCAGCCACATCTACCAATTTGGGATCGTGTGCACACCTACGAACACTTGGAGAAGAAGGCCTGTCCTCTAGATGGGGCTTTCTGCTTTGCTCTGGTGAGAACTCAAAGCCATTGAGATTTAAGAGCATATGAATAGTTTAATTTGAGCTCATTAAGGCTAACTAGGCTGGGGAGGTTTTCCTTTTTGCTTTTTCCATTTAAAAATAAGTAGGAGTTTTCAAAACACCCAAGAAAGTGATGGTTTACCTCTTTATTAAGGAATGGTTGAGCCCCATATATTCCATGATCTGTAACCCAACAGATATCTAAAAGCTCTGCCCCTACTGCTTCTCTGGTCTCATCTCCTAGCCCTGCAACCAAAGCACTAATGGCCAGCGTGCTGTTCGTACATACCATCACACTCACCTCAGGACCTTTGCGTGGGCCCACGCCCTTGATCTGGGCCATGCTCCTCCCCCGTACTCCCCCCATTTCCTCAAATACCTGTGCATCTTGCTTCCTTCAGGTCTCTATTCAGATGTCTTCTTATCTGTTAAGCCTTCCTTGACCTCCTTAACAAAGAGCAATAACTGCTCCTTGCTTGGTTACCCCTTAATGTGTTTTCTTTTTCTCCAAAGCACTTATTGGTTTATTGAGAGCCGCCTCCTCAGAATGGGAGCCCCACGAGGGCAGGGACTCCAGCCGTTTATTCATTAATGTAACCCTCGCAAGTAGAACATTGTGTGCCACACAGTGTACAACCAATAAATGTGTTGGCCAATGGCCTTCTTGTCTTCTTTTTTTCATTCATTCATTTACTAACTTAGCAAACACTGAGCCCTAGGTGCCAGATACTATTGAATAACAGAGAACCAAAGATGAGGAGGACAGCCTCTGTCCCTAATAAGGTCACAATGTGAGGAGGGAAGCAGGTAAGTGGTCCTAACTATAGTGCAGCGTGGTAGTTTCTGTGGGGATGTGGCTGAGGAACTGAGCAAGGGAAGCTTCCTGAAGGAGGTGGTATTACGCGGACCCATGAAAGGTGAGAATAATTATGACTCATTAACAGAGTGAGTGCTCACTATCTCTCTGCGAGGCAATTTAAAAACAGCGTCCATTAATGCTGTTTTATAACGTAAATGCTGATGCTGTCTTTTATTTGGAAATAAGAAAGCAGACTCAGAAAGAACCAAGGTCATAGGGGTACTGCTCGGTAGAACGGAGATTCAACCCTGGTTCTTTCTGGTTGTGTCTCATTTTTTAACCATAAGTGGGCAGACAAGGAGGATACACATTGTGAACAGAAGAAACAATATTTACCAAGCCCTGAAACTCTAGTGTATTTCAGGGAGCTGTAGGAATTTTAGGAAATATGGAAAGAAAAGAGGTAGACACACTCTACTTAGAAGGTGACCTTACAGGCCACAGGGGGTTTATTTGTTTTGTTTTGAGACAGAGTCTTGCTATGTAGTGCAGGCTGGCCTTGAACTCTGTATGTAGCCCAGGCTGGCCTCAAATTCATGGCAGTCCTCTTACCTCAGCCTCCTGAGTGCTGAGATTATAGGCATGTGCCACCACGCCCTGCACATCCTGTGGTTTGGATATGGTTTGAGTGTATAGCCCAAAACTTCATAAATTGGAGGTCCCCCTTGTGGCCATGTAAGAGGTAGTGGACCCTTTAAGAGGGAGGATTGGTGGGAGATCACTAGTCACTCGGAGCACTGTCTTAGGAAAGGATTAATATAATTCTTAAAAGACCCAGGTTAATCCTCATAAGAGTGGATGGTTAGAAAATGAACAGGCCTGGCCTCTCCCCAGTTCCTGGCTTCCTGCCTTGCCGTGTGGTCACTCCCTTATGCACCTTGCCATGATACCATATGACAGGATGTGATGCAGCTAAGGAGCCTCGGCCACAGGCTGAACAAATGGGGCTACCATCTTCTGGCTCCCAAACTGAACTAAATAAAGCTCTTTGCTTTATGAAGCCCAGCATCAGGTATTTTGTTACGGTGACACAAAATGGCCTAACACTCCACAGGTTTCTAATACCTGTATCATCTGACTCTTTGCATCTTCCTTCCAGGGTAGCTTGCTCTTATTACTGTATTGGGCATCTGAATTTGCTTTGATCTGTAGAAAGAGTTTGAGACTGAAGCAGGGGCTCATCTGGACCTTCGTGGTTGCTCAGATGGGAGTGTGAGCCCTTGACTAGGAGAGTGGCTGTGAGCATAAAGGAGAGATGACAGAGGGAGTGATGTTTAGAGAGAGAACTGCTTGAGTTTGGTTTCCTACGGCTGTTAGAGAGGCTAAGCCTGGGTGAATGGGGCGATAATGGTTCTGGGAACCAGAACAGAGCTTCAGGAGAAAGCAGAAGAGAGGGGAGACGAGGTGATGCTGAGGGGAAGAGCTGGTGATTCCTGGAGCAAGGAGCCGCTCAGGGCTGATCTGGATATAGAAGCTGGACCTCTGGGTGGAGTCGCAGAGCTGACAGACACCAGCTTCTCAGAATGTGTTATTGCCCAGAAGGACAGTCTGGAGAAAAAAACAAGCAAAAAGCCAAGAGTGGACCCTGGAGAGCCCAGCATGTGCAAACCAGCTATAGGGATACTAGGAAGCTTCCTGGCGCTGACCGCTTTGGACCAGCATTATATTATTTTCAGATGACTTGTGAAATAATTATCAGACACATATGTTATCTACACTTTCCAGGGAACTTTTTGAAGTTTTCTTGGTTTAAAAAAAATATCTGGAGGCTAGCCTAGATGACATAGTGAGTTCAAGGCCAGCCTGAACTACACAGTGAGACCCTGTCTCAAAAACATCAAAAAATAATAAGTAAATAAATTAATTGAAAAGCATGAGATCTCCTTGAAGCATTTTCTTCTATCATTGTCAAGCAGGTGTCTGTGTGATTTTTCAGCAGACAGGAGGGCACAGGATGGTCTGGCAGTATAGGCTAAGTGAAGACTGCCAGCCATAGAGGGAGAGAGGCCTGCACAGGCCAGCCTGCTCAACATGCCATGGCCTCATGGCGAGGCAGCCTGCTCACCGTGCCACGCCAGAGTAGCCACTCAGAGTCCACTCATGAGCTTCCACCACGGAAAATCTTGATTTGATCATTCCACATCAGGGCCTGGGAAAAGCGTAGGCTCCTGCCACGTGCAGGCCAGGGAGCACCCCACCCTGTTCCAAGCTAAGCCCCTCCTGCTCTCAAGTGTGCCAATAATAGGAAGCATCTTTATCAAAATTGGGCTAAGAGTAATAGATAAGTAGGAAATTACTCCTTTAGTTAGTCCTTGCAAACTGGTCCTCTTCTCAGGGAGGAGTCCTTTTAAAAGGGTGAGTGTTTCCTGGTATTTGGCAGATTTGGGCATCGGTGTGTGTGTGTGTGTGTGTGTGTGTGTGTGTGTGTTTTGGTGGTGGTTGTTTTTGATTGTTTTTGGAGCCCATATTTTTGTTAATGTCATAAAAGAGCAGTGCTTGCTAGAAAGGTTGGACTTCTCTGATCACCTCATTCTTGTAGGTACAGCTCAGATGTGAACATAGGGCTGTTTACAAAGATGATACCTGCGAAGGATTACAGTTTAACACTGGTGAGTGTTGTAAATGCTCCACCAGTTTACCTTTGGCCTTCGATATGACCTCTGTTGATCACCTCAAGGTTCACATTTAAGTAGGGGTCTGGCTGTGAGTGGGTTGGTAGGGAGCAGGACAGCCTGTCTGTTGAGAGTAATTTTGATTTAAGCCAAGTGAGGTATTGTTTACAGAATGAATAGGCAGATTGATTCTGAGTCTGTGTTTCACATGTTTCATTAAGCCCAGAGAGTGATGCCTCTTGGATTGTTTAGCTATAATTGCCAGTAAACAGGACTTTGTCAGCGATTCCCCTGAGAAACAGCTGGGTGGAGTCAGGACTCACTCCAGCCCCCTCAGGCTTGCCAAGTCTTGTTACATCCAGTCTGTTGCCTGATAGGCCTAGCCCAACAGCCCCAGCTGACCCAGGCGATCTCTGTCTGTGGCTGACATTTCCCTTCAATAGTATGCCCAGGCGTTTATGAGGCCCAGCTTAGGATGAACGGCAACCGGCTACCAGGCTATAAAAATCCATATCGTCAAGGTGTCTGTGAATCAGTGTCCAAAACCTCTTTTAGGTGCCATCCCCACCCCCCTTACCACTCGTGCAGGTCCTTTTGTAGCAACACCATTTTACATCCTACACTGTGGATCCCTGCTGTTGGGTTCAGTCCCTGCTAGGCAGCACTCGTTCTCGACCAGGTCCGCTCTGTGCAGCTGGACAGCCCCTATGTTTCTGGTACCTGGTTTAGGAGAGACAAGGACTCAGAGTCAGAGAGGACACGTTTCTTCTTCCGAACAAGAGCCAGCGCCTTCCCCTTGGTGCTCCGCCTGCGCCTTTGCTCTCTGTGTTACTCTGTGACAGTCTCCAGCAAAGCAGCAGATGTGAGTCGTGCCCATCATGGCTCCCATGGTGGTAACGCGCTGCCCTCTCTTCCTCAGGGCTTTCCCTGAACCCAACTTTCCTGGGAGGTCAAGCTTCTACCTCCTCCCAGGGGCATTCTGGTGAGAAGCAGCCACAAGCAGAGCCCAACATACACACTGTGGTTTACAGCACTTGTCTTCTGGGATGACCACCTCCCTCAGAGGCCTGGCAAGGATAGGGACATCATCTTCCTTGCCTGTAGTTCCTGTATGTAATGTTTCTGCTGACTCTGCACGCCAGGTCCCAGCAGCAGCAGTGCTGCCCGGCTGTGCTGAAGAGACCAGCGCTGCTCCGATGCCTCTGCTGCGTCATCTTGTTCACCTGCCGCGCAGCCTCCAGGAACAAGCGCATCCTCTGCCTCCAAGTTCTGCAGATCAGCAGCGGACGTGGACACGCCCCCCTCAGAGCATGGTATGGCGTCGGAGATTGTCCACTCTTGGACCGGAGGTGTGCACACCTCCCTTTTATTACTCAAACCCTCTCTAAGTCTTATTCTCGCACCTGCCTAGGGGAAGACAGAGAGCATGAGCTGGCCTCCCTCTTGGGGCCATCTTGGTACCTCCAACTCCAAAAGTCAGTTCAAGTGGTGCAGGCTCGCTCAGACATTGGTGTGACTGACCACTAGCTAAGCTAATGAGCCCCTGGGGAAGACCACCAAAAGTACAGAATTTCATACAGCACAGAGCAGTGCTACATCAAACGGAGGTGAAAATGTTCCAGATTTTGATCTCCAACCGCCTGCAGGTCCCCAGGAGCATTTTGCCAATTGGTTGCCCCTCATCAGTTTCTTAAGCATTTCCAAAATACCCTCCTTGCCTCATCATCACTTGTAATGATTTAAAGGCTTTGAAGTAAGACCAAAAACGTCTGACCATCAGGCAGAAACAATGACTTCATTTGGGCAACTCTTTTTATTTGGGGAAGTTCTCACCTCACAAAGCCGTCCAGACACAGCCAGGGGCAGCGGGAAACTCCTAGGGAGGGAGGAGGACTGAGGAGCAGCCGTGTCTGTGATGTTGCCCTGCAGCACAGGGTTCCAAAGGGTGGCTGCAGCCTGGGGTCTTCTTATACTGCCAGGTGTATCTTGTCTGGGGCTAGCAGAGGGTGGGTCAGTGTCTTGGAGTATGTGAAATGGACAAGCTCTAACTAAAGTATGCTTATTTGGGCTATATTTAAAACAATTAGATGTGTAAAATTTGACTTTGGCACTGGTAGGCTTTTGAGCTAATTGGCCCCAGCTTGCTCTGAAGATGTAAACAATATAAAGCCAATGTACGTCAGGAAATAGCTTGGGCTGGTGTGGGGCTCAGTGGGAGAGCACTTGCACGGCAGGGGTTCCCTCCTCAGCAGTGTCGGAGGAAGGAAAAGGAGCGAGGGACAGAGAAAGGGAAGGGCCAGGAAGTGGGGAGGAGGGAGGAGGAGGGGGAGGGGTGGAGGAAGACGGCAGCAGCTATCGTTGGCTTATTTATGTAGCTAGCGCAGCCTGATCAAGAAACAGAAGACACAAAGTAATAATACCAGGAATGAGAAGAACATTCCTGCTTTATTTATATCAACAGAATAAAAAGGAAATATTATAAACAACCATATGCCAATAAATTTTATAACTTTGACAACTTTTTGCAAAACACTACCAGAGCTAACTCAAGAAGAAATAGAGAATGTGAATAACCCTACCTCTATGTTTTAAAAATTAAATTTGTGGCCAAAGACCTTCCCATAAGGAAAATTCCAAAGCAAGATGTCTTTACTAGTGAACTCTACTAAACATTTAAAGAAGAAATACTGTCACTTCTACACAGAGAACAGGAGGTGCACTAGCCAGTACAACAGGGTAAAATATAGCCAGGCATGGTGCTGCACGACTGTAATCTCAGCACTCTGAGAAGCTGAGGCAGGAACATCACAAGTTCAGCCTGGCCAATTTAGAGACTTACCAAGACACTGTTTCAAAATAAGAACATGAAAAAGGCTGCAGATGTAAGGGGTGTGGGTTCAACCCCAGTCTCATGCTCACACACAGAGGTTTGAAGAAGAACAAAAGTTTGATTCACAAACAACATAATTATGTAGACAGTGTCATGTAATCTGCAGAATAATTCTTAGCACTAATAAGTGAATTTAGCATAGTTTCCGGATATAATATCAATATGGAAGCTGGGCATGGTGGCGCATGCCTGTAATCCAAGTACTCGGGAAGCTGAGGCAGGAGAATTGTTGCAAGTTTAAGACCAGCCTGGGATACAAAGTGAGCTCAAGGCCAGCCTGAATTGCATAGACAGACCTTGTCTCAAAAGGACAAAAAAAAAAGCAGTATGAAAATTCAATTATATATCTGTATATTAACAATAAATAATTGGAAATTGAATTTTAAAAAATAAATACTGTAAATAGTCTCAAAATTAAATATTTCTGAATTGCTTTGATAAAAGATGTTTAAATACTGTGTATTAAAAGAGACAGTTGGGCTGGGCATGGTGGTGCATGCCTGTAATCCTAGTACTTGGGAGGCTAAGACAGAAGGACTGATGCGAGTTCGAGGCCAACCTGTGCTACAAAATGAGTTCAAGGCCAGCCTGAACTGCATAGTGAGACCCTGTCTCCAAAAGACCAAAGAAAAGAGGAGACATTGGTAGGAGAAATTAAAGACCTAAATAAACTGAGAGCTTTGTTCTGATCATGTTTCAGAAGACTAAGTATTGCTAAGGTGTCAGTTCTCCAAACTGACCTACAGATTTATGATACCATTCAATTGCCAACAGGTTTTTAAATAAAATTTGACAATCTGGGGGCTGGGGATATAGCTCAGCAGTGTGGCTCCTTCCTGGCAAGCGCGAGGTCCTGAGTTTGATTCCTGATATCCACAAAAAGAAAAGAAAATAGAATTTGACAAGCTGATTTAAAATTTTATATTGAAATGCAGAAGGCCTGGAAAGGCCAAAAGGGTCTTAAAAAGCAGTTTTAGGGGGTTGGGGATTTAGCTCAGTGGCAAAGCGCCTGCCTGGCAAGCACAAGGTCGTGAGTTCGGTTCCCGGTACCGGGGAAAAACAAAACAAAGCAAAACAAAGCAGTTTTAAAAGTTAGATGACTCATACTGCATTATTTGGAGGCTTATGGTGAAAGTGTGGTATTGATAGAGAGACATGTAGATCCATGGAGCAGAACACAAAGTCCAGATAAGATTCAAACACTTGCAGTTTTTGCCAAAGGTGTCAATTCACTGAGAAAAAAAAAAATCTTTATTTACCTTTTCGCTATACCAGGGATTGAACCAGGACCTTGCACATGCTAACCAGCTACTCTGCCGTGGATCTACATCCCTATCCTTTTTCCACTTTGATTTTATTGTTGTTTTTGGGGGTGGTTTTTTTTTTTTGTGTGCTAGGAATCGAACTCAGGACCTTAAGCTTGCCAGGCAGGTGCTGATTTTTTCACTTTGAGACAAGATCTTGCTACACTGCCCAGGCTGGCTTTGAACTTGCTGTCCTCCTGCATCAGCCTCCTAAGTAGCTGGGATTGCAGGTGTGTGCCGCTACACCTGGCAAAAAGAAAACAAGTAGATATGCAAAAAATTAAATATCTGACGTTAGCTCACATCACATACCAAAAAGAACTCAAATGAATCATAGATCTACTTGTAAGAGCTAAACCACGAAATGTATAGGAGGACGTCTAACTGGCAGAGTTTGGCAAAGAACCTAGCCCTGAAACACAGTATAGGTAGGAATCAATAAACTAGATTTCTTCAAAATTAAAACTGCTTTTAAAAGATACTATATATTTTCAGTCAATATGTAAGGACCCTGGAAGTCATCACCTCTAATCTCATGAAAGAAAAACAGGGAACAAGCCAGATGTGGTGGCGCATACCTGTAATCCCAGCAACTAGGATTACAGGCGTGCGTCACCACACCTGGCCAGAAGATTTAGACTTAATCACAGGACTGCAGAAACTGCCCTTTCTACCACATGTCAACACCACATTGATAGGGCTTCTTTAGTAACAGGAATATGACCGAAAGAACTGCAGATCACAGGCCTAAATTAAGGGAAGGATTCTGTGGAAACCTGAAGACAACAGAGGAGACAAAACAAGGACATCAAAGCAAATGTCCTCTGACACTTCCAGCTACAGCAAACAGTAAACATAGCCTGACTCCTAGCCGGCTAAACATAGATCCCTCCCAAAAAGACCATTTCCCTCTGTCCCTTTTACCAACATACTATGTTGGGTTTCAACAAAAAAAATTACAAAGCATACAAAGAGATAAACATTTTCAATAGACAAAGCAAGCATTAGAATGAGATTCAGACAAAGATATGCAAATTATCAGAAAATTTTAAACAACTATGACTACTATGCTAAGAGCAACTGTGAAAAAAGTAGATAACATGAAAGAACAAATGGTGATGTAAGCAGAGAAGTGGAAACTCTAGGATATAATAAAAACAAATTTCAGAAATTAAAAAAACACTATTATAGAAATGAAGGATGACTAATAAATTGACCAACACATGGGACATAGCCAAAGAAACGGTCAGTACGCTTGAAGCAATGTTAATAGAAACTTCTAAAACTGAAGTGCAAAAGGAAAAAGAATTTAAAAGACGGAGCAGAATATTCAAGAACTATGGGGCAAATGTAAAAGGTAAAATGTATGCATAGTAAGAATGCCCCTAGGCATTCTTCCTGCTCGCTTTTAAAAGATTTTTCTCTTTGTCTTTGATTTGTGCACAATGAGTAGTCTTTTTTTTGAACGAAACAGAAAATTTTTTTTCTGTTTTCAAACCAATATTTGAAAGAAACAGAAAAAATACTGGAAGAAATAACTGAGAATTTTCCAGAATTAATTACAGCCACTAGCCCATAGATGTAGGAAGCTTGGGGAACAGCAAGCAAGATCAAGGCCCAGCCCAAAAGCTATACCTATGACTACTCAATGTGCACAAATCAAAGACAAAGAGAGAAATCTTTTAAAAAGCCAGCGGGAAGACCCACCTAATTCGAGATGAATAAGGATAAGAATTACAAACCTTCTCTTTAGAAATGCAAGCAAAAAGAGACTGAAGTAAAATATTTGATGCATTGAAAAAATTATCAACTTAGAATTCGGTAGCCAACAAATTATCTTTGTAAAAAAATTTCCTCAGACAAGCCAAACCTGAGAGAATTTGTCATCACTACATTTACATCTTCAGAAGGAAATAAAAGCCTTGTAGATTAGAAGCTCAGAGCTACACAAGGAGTCCTAGAGAAGAAATAATGGTAAAATAAAATTTTGATTTTTTTTCTTAACTGATTGCACAGCTAACAGTTTCTATTCATTGTGAGTAAATCTTAGGGGTAGGTGAGATGAATGGCAGCAGTGTGTGAAGATGAGAGAGAGGAGTTAGGAGCGCTTTGTAGAAGT